TTGTCTCTCGTTTGCCCATCCATCAAGGTACTCTCTCTCTCATAATAATATTGAACTTCTCAATCCATCTTGTTTCATAGCTGCTAACTCAGAGAGAAATAATTCCCTCTGAAATCCCAAATTAGGGTATTTGAACCCAAAAGGGAATAAACTGCGTAGAACCTATTTCCTCTATTCAATGGTTGCACCTACTAATTTCAATGGTTGCACCTACTAATTTTTGCAACCAATTTCTGTCTGTTTCATGTGTACATACTGAGTTTTCTCACTCTAGGTTGTAATTTCTCTCTAGCATTTTCTGTTGGACCTGTTTCGTTTTTTCAAGGTTCCGTGGTTTTCTCTTACTTTTAACTCATGCTATGCAGTACAGATATAGAGATAGACCTAATATTTGTTCTTAATGATGGGATTATGACTTGATTTCTCTCTAGCGCTTTCATCCCTGCTCCTGCTTTTCTCTCTCTCTTGTACATTAGATATAGGAATAAACTGCAGATCTAGAGAGAGAGGAATCAATATAATTAATTCTGAAATTGTATAAATTGGGTGTTGGTTTGCAAATTATTTTTGAAGGCTTCCTTACCAGTGTTCCTAAGTGCTCTATATAGACGAGAAGAATTTAAAGATAATGGATGAATGGGTGTATATTAACAAGCTCCTGTACTGTTTTTGTATTTTTCTTGGTACTCCAAGCGCCTTCCAAAACTTCTAATCTCTAAATTTTTATTATTCTAGTTTGATCCGCATTCTATTGTAATTTTCTCTTCGTGATTTTCTTCCCAATATATATTAAGCAATTTGTTTATTTTTTATGATTCCCAATCTTGCCCATGTTGAGAACTTACCAGTTCTTTGTGTTCAATGTCCTTTATGACTCTTTATTTCTTAAACTCAGATGTCAAAACCTTCCTGGTGTTCCATGATTATTGCATACTAACCTTGACATGTAAGTTTCAATTTTTTTTTTTTTTTTCTGACATTGACTGCTAATTCTAATAAGCCATTTGTGTTTCTCTGTAGTTTTTCTCTGTACTTCCTTTCTCTCAAGGAGTACCTCACAGCTCTCTACTTTTGTAATGCCTCTAGCAAATTTTATTAATGGACATCCTATCTTTAAATTTTGGTTTCATTCTATCTTCAAATTTAAAGATAATAGATGAATGGGTGTATATTACTGACAATTGAGTGTTTCAATGATTTATTTGTTTAAATTTGATGAGAGAGAGGATGGGGGAACCACAATTTTGGTTTGGGTTGCTTTGGTTTCATTCTATCTTCAAATTTAGAAAATTTTCTGAACATGGAATTGATTGGGTTGATGATTGTTTGATGGAGTTAGTCGACCTCTGTTGTATGAGATGTCATTGATGTGTTCTTGACATAGGTTATTGAGCTAAACATTTATGGATTCCTTGCATGAGTTATAAGCAAGTTATTTTTCATTATTGTTTATGTGCAGATTTCTCCATAAACGTGTGACAGCTTTGAGTTCATTCTATTGACTATTTGCTTTGGTATTTGTTCCCTTTTAAAATTGTGCGTGTTTGAACTTCGATATATGTGAACTTCTATAGCGTCCATTTTACATAATGTCAAGATTGTGTGATAATTTGACAAGTGTTAAGAGGGTACCATTCAGTCCGGAGATGTCAGAGCAACCCCCTATCTCTCAAGATCCAACCAAGGCAAACCAAGGCAAATTGGAGTGCAACTCGCGATGAATTCATTGTTGAACAATTGAAAATATTAATTTTGCTGGGAAACGGTCTGATATTGGATGGAAGAAAGAGGATTGAAGGTCTGTCTTGGATGCATTTAATAAAAATTTTGATCAAAATATCGTACAATAATTGAAAACTCACTGGGCTACAGCACTCAATATTTTATTGCGAAGGATCTTATTAACCAAAGTGGTTTCAGTTGGGATGACCATGCCCATGTTGTAACTGCTTCGAATGGTGTGTGGGATCGATATCTTCAAGTAAATTTTTAGTGTTGATTATTCAATTCTTTATTTTTCTTTGGTTGTTGTAGGAATATATCTATGCAAGATGTTTGGAAAACTCACATATCTAAGCAAACAGGCCCATCTTAAAACAAAACCATATAGAAATGTGAGCTTTTCCCTTTATGATCAACTTACCATACTAGTAGAAGGTAAGTATTTCCATTGTATTAATAGTATTTATTTAACTTTATTATATTGCACTACAATTCTAATGTACTACAATTCTCATTAGAATATGACATTTTATGACTATAGGTAAACATGTCACAGGGAAAGGGTATTTATCGACTGTTTGTCAAGATACATTAGAAGATGACACAAGTGAACATGAAATTGAGCAAAGTCCATAAGCAGACCCACATTATAATGCAAATGAGAATGATTTGAGCTCTTCAGATGTCAGATGATATGCTTATGGACACCCTTGAAAGGAACAAATGTCAAGCTGGTGTGTAATTAATTCCACAACAACTGTTGAGAATTTAGTCAGGACAGACATGTCAACCTCACAAATATTGCAAAGTCCTACAGAAAATGAAGAGTTTTCATATGAGAAGTTTTTGATAGAATTGTAGCAGTTGGAAGGCTTATAATCAAAGTGAGCGTGTGTAAGCAATAGATTTACTTGTTAATGAAAAAGTGGCCATCGCATTTATGACTCTCGAAGGAAAACTTCGTTTGGATTGGTTGCGTTCTAAATGTTACATTGTAGAGTAGATATCCATTTTGTAATTTTAAATTTATTTTGTGTGGGGGGACTCTTAATTAGCGACTTGAAGAACTTCCTAATCTATGTATGACTTTTGGACTTGAGTTTTTTGAGTAACATGTGTGAAATGTTTGTTGATTTTTAGGACGTGTAAAATGGTTGCTGATTTTACTCATCCTTTTCCCATTGATTTGTGATCTTAGAGAAAATGGCTTTAGTCTACAAACTCATATGTAGTTCTAATACACTTTTTTTGGTCAAATTCTAATGCGCATTGACTCAATTTGGTAGTAGATAGTAGATGTTTGTTTAAGTTAGATATATTCCTTAAATAATGCATTTGTCCACATATTGTTTTTTCAATTTCGTTAGAATATCTTTCATTTATTTTATATAAAGACAAGCATAATCAACAAAGAAACATGATTGAGATGGAATTGGCCAAACGACCTGAGAAGCAACGGCGTAAGCGGCGGTTAATTCTTGCACTTGCTCTTTGCAGTTATAATGATATTTATGTAAACAAGATTCCTCTCCGGAATTCATCTCTATCAGGCTATGCATAGATGGAAAAAATACTTTAAGGCCATAGGGAACGATGCCTTCAAGTTTGTCGTATGGAGTTAAATGTATTTCAAAACTTTTGTGAGATTCTTCGAAGTAGACATTCTGAATGATACTCGAGGTGTAAAGATTGTGAGATTCTTCGAAGTAGACATCTTCTGAATGATACTCGAGGTGTAAATGTTGAAGAGCAGTTGGTAATGTTCTTATACATCCGGGGGAAGACTTCAAACCAATGGTTTAAAAAACGGATCGGTGACCCGGATCGGGCATCCAAAAAACCGATTTGGATCGGCGAATCGGCGATCC